ATTGTTGAAGAAATTAGCAAAAATTTGCAAAAAAAATTATGGAAATGAATTTAAAGAATAATTTAAAGTTATATTCTAATCTCTCATATATGAATATGTGATAAATACGATGCTATCACTTCAATATTAAAATAACTATAATATAGAAGGAACGATAAGTTTGACCCTAAAGATTATTTTATTCATATTAATAATTTTCTATTTAGTCAATATATAGAATTAAAGATTTAGTGAATTTTATTATACTTATAGTTGTATGTAAAAGATAATATTTAGTATAATATTAGTAGGATGTTTCGAGTGTCCAATCATTTAGATATAGCTTTGTGCTGTTAATGAACTATTTTATTTTTCCTTTCTTTTTCTGAAAAGAAATAAATTAGAAAAATTGGAGGGCTTCAAGAAATAGTTTAAGCATATAATTTTTGTCTTCATGAATCTGATTTATTTGATTCATGAGTTTTATAAAAAACGTCCGCAGAACTTAGTGACTCTTGGATGGATCTAAGTTGGAATTATGAGTTGTAATTTAAGCTTCACTCTGATATTAGATATATACGTATTATTAAAGCCAATTTTTTTTTAAATTGGACAAGCTTGCCTTCAAAAATATTTGATGTAGAAAACCAAAAGATTTGCAAATCATCAAATTTTCGATTAAGGGGATTCTAATATCAAACAATCAGCAATCCATAGAGTGCTATATAAATGAGACATATATTTCTGCTAAATTAGAGGATTCATATTAGATAGAACTGAATTTATATTTGATCATTATTTTAAATATGAAAACTTGCTATTTTTAATATTAGAACACAATTGCTCCATGTTTTTTAGCCTATAAATATTCAAACTGTAATTTAGTAGAGCATTTTCTTTACAATACCTTTGCCACCCTGATCAAAATTATGTGAATTGGAAAACCTCAAAAAAACAAATATGAACAAGTATCTTGTAGAACCAAGTATTCATGTGTATACGATCTTGTTATCAGCAGACGAGATTATGGTGAAAGTATTTAGAGTTTCTTGATTTTCAAGCTCTCCTTAGACTTTGATGGGCACATGATACATGTTAAAGTTAATCTATAACTGGTATCAAATTCATCCCTATGTCAATTATTTTTTCAGCTTGATTTCTGAAATAATTGCAAAACATCTATCTTTAAATCATACAAATCTGATGTACTTCAGATGAATGGTGTCAAATTATGTCCAAACAGCAACTCTACCTCATCAGCACCTTTCTTTACTATAACAATGATTAATTTAATTTGAAGAGTATATCAGAAACGCTGTCAGTTAGGCATTTGTGCTGGTGGCTATTCTGAAACACATTGATTATCATCTCATAAACCTCTACCTATTTTTAGGTCTTTTATCTGGGTTTGCAACTTTGCGATAATCGGATCAATTGATTGAGAGCTTCCAATTTAAGGAGGAAATATTTGGAATGTAGAAGTTCTGTTAATTTTACACATCAGCAAATTCGAATAATTTGATAAAGTGACTGATTATCATAATAGGTGTACTGTAACCCTTATCAGGATTTGTGAGCGAATCTTAATTAGGGGAACTTATTCTTATTATTCTAGTTTAATTGACAAGTTTGTTTAAATTGACAAGTTCATATGATGCGGCCTTCTTGTTTTAAGCTAACCTGCTTAATCTACTTCTTATTAGTATCATTTTTTAAATTCAATTTACAGCCTAGACCTTAGAGTTTCACTTATCTTTATTTGATCTAGGGCAATATTTATTTATAACAACATATTAAATTACCATCTTCAGTCTATTTAACATACAGAATTGAGCCTTAATTTTTACAAAGATTATAAATTCTAGAGAGAGATGTGTAAAGTTCTTTGGATTATTTGGAGAATAATAGTTTTTTACACTCTTGTATAGCATTCGTGATGCACTTATTAATTATTATTTTGAAATTAATGAATTTTATACAAAAGAAGCAGGATTATAGCTAGCTTCATAATTAATATCTGTTTGTTGGTCTAATATCAAGAGGATCTTAGTATTAGTTAAGAGCTTTAGGATTCATTGAAATAAATCTTCTTATTAAATATCAAGGATATGAATATTGGTTTTTAATCAGAAAATTTATAAAATGCATTTAAAATGTTCATTGACACATTTTATATTTTGATAATTAAAAAGTTTCCAATATTGCATTTCATTCCGATTTAATGGTTGAGTCAGATGTGTATTCATGAAAAGGAGTGAGAATCTTTTGAAAATAAACTTATTATGTTGATATCACTACTAGAAAACTTAAACCGGTATAATAGTTTCAACTAAAGAAAGTATATATGTAAAAGGCAATTTTTTGTAGCATTCCATATATCTACTGATTAAAAAATTTAGACTGATAGCTAGAAAATGATAAAGAAAGAGCAAAAAATTTTCACATTGTTACCATATAAGATTGGCAAGGAAAAGGTTTAACAAACTAGAATACTACTTTCCAGATTTGTAATCAACTGATGTTGAAAATGATTAACATGAATTTCCTAAGTTTTAAACAAAGCCTTCACAGCAGTCTCTATATTGACTTGCTGTAGAATATCACCAAATATGAGAAGGTTAGGAATTTGAGACTAATCCTTTAGTTTGCTATCTTAAACAAGCCTAAAATTATATTCAAAGATTAACTATTTATATAATTCTGAGAAAATAACCTTAGGTGAAGCAATCT